AAAAAAAATATCTTATATTTACACTAGATTTAGTTCGAATTAACTTTATTATTTTGTTTATAAATATTGAGCAATATTTAGAGCTGTAGCCTTCTAAACATTTTGCCAACTATCCATATTTTAAATATGTTTGATTATTATTTAATAGTGTAATCAACAAAATAACTGTGAATTATGAACTTAAAAATTAAATTACCTAATTTAAAATTCTGATGGAGTAATCTCGTTTAATTGATTTGAACTTCTAAAATGGTTTGCATTAGAGGCTTTGTAGATACTAATATATAATAAATTTAGTTTAAAGAGGAGCACATTTATTAAAAGTAAAAAAATATAACTAGCTTTTTTTATTTAAATATTTATTTTTATTAAAGACAAAGTTTGATTTTTTTACTATCTAAACCAAAAATAAATTACAAATATAAATTTTTACCTTGAAGTTATATTTAATTAAGCAAAATTTTTGCTTTAATCTAGATATTTTTGAGGTTTCTCAGACTTTTAATAGCTTAAGTTCTTTTATCTAATATTTTTGATTTTGAAAAGTAAAAGAAAATAAGAATCATCAAACAAATAAAAGTGATAAATGAGAAAAAGAAGTTGCCAACAAAGTTATTATTTTACAAAAATAAGATAAAAGAAAATTGTTACGTTCTATCAGCAGGCTAAAATTATTCTTAAAATTTATCTGCTTCTTCATTATCATAGTCACAGAAACTAAACGAAATTATTATTAATAAATATAGATATTAATTTAAATTTAAATAAAAAATACTTAATTAGTTGATTTTTCAAATTTTGTTATAAAGTATTATAAAGATTCTTTAGTTCTTCATTATTTATACAATTGTCACTATGATTATTAAGGTTTAATTATTAATTTATAAAATTTAATATAAATCTAATTAAAATAATTAAATAAAAAAAGTTTAATTAATTAATTTTACTTTAAATCTAAATCTAGTGATTAAATATTTCTATTATTTTATAAAGCATCTACAAGTTTTGAAGCTCCCATTAAAGTGATTCTATTTTTCCTAATTAATTAAAATTTATTTAAACTATTACTCAAAAATAAATCTCTCATTCGAGTAAAATATATATATAAATTCAAAAATTTAATTTTCATCTACTTTAATTAATTTTTAATTAAAAATAAAGTTTGCTTATTGGGTATAAGAGTTAAATTAATTTAAATCACATTTTTTTTTCTCCATTTTAAATGTTGGTAAATATTAAATTTTAAAGAATATTTATTAGAAAATTACTTTAAATAAAGTCGAAATTTAGTTATGCTCTTGAAATTAGTATAAGCCTTTGCGATAGCCTAAACTCCTTCATCAGTTATTAAATTATCACTTAAAATATTTATTATTTTAATTTATTTGTTTAAAAAATACATAAAATGAAAATAATTAAATATTTATGTTTTTTTGCTTTTAAAACGAATGAAGATTGAAATTGGTAAATTATTTTAATTAAATTAAATTACTATTAATTAATTGGGGTTTAATTTAAAAAGATTTTGAAATTGGTATAAATTTATTCCAATTATATAAAAACCATTATCAGTTATTTTATTAAAAAGAGGAAATTAAAATTTAAAATGATATAAAAAAAATTAATTTAAAGAAGATAATTTAATTAATTGAGTAAATTATAAATATTTTTTTTCAACACATATTTAAAAAAATGAAAATTTACTTTAAACCAAGATTAAATTCCTTTAAATTTTCACATATTCCTCTTGTTTACTTTAAAATGCCTTGTATTATTTAATTGCCTAACTTTATACCACTATAAATATTATTTTAATTAATAAAAAAGTATTATTTTTATTTTTGATCTATTAAATTAAATAGAGAAATTAAGAATTAAGATTACTTAAATAATAATTCTAATGAAGTAAGTTTTAGACAATTGTTTAAAGTATTTTTATATTCAGTCATACTTATTATTATTATATATTAAATATATGTTAATTAATTGAATTTAAAATTTAAATATTTATTAAAATTTGCTTAAATTTTATTACGGGAATAGCTCATGCAGATTAAGGCTTAATTTTACAATATCTTGGCATTTTTTTTAAATAGTTTCAGCAATATTTTCAGTAATATAAAAATTATAATACCTTTTTTTATTAATAACTTTAATTAGTTAAGTTGTTAATTTAAAAATAGTAATATTAATTAATTATTTGTTTTACAATAATTAAATTGTAAATAATTTACTAAAAACAAACTAAGATTTAATTCAGTAATTCTTTGGGACATCGACAAAAAGTGTTCAAGTATGCTAGTAAATTCATCACTTATATAGACACTATTAAAATAATTAAAATAAAATAAACATAATTTTTAAAATTCTGGAGAATATTTTTTTTTTTCATAAACCTCCAGGTTACTTTAAATATTTAATAAAAAAATTGCTAAATTAAAAGAATTTTTCAAATATTTTATTTGAATTTATTAAAAAAATTAATTCTTAAATTAACATATTGTATTATTTCTAATTTAAACTTTTTAAATCTTATGATAAAATATATTAAAAATGTGGAGTAGTACTCCTGGAGTTTGGGGGGGGGGGGGGGGGGG